GGCGCCCGCAAGACGAACGCCTCGCAAAACGAAAAACTCGCAAGACGAAAGGTTTTTCGTTTTCGAGTTGCTTCGCAAGACGAATGTCCCTATGGGCTTGCTTCGCAAGACGAAAACGTCTTGCAAGTTTGTTTCCTTTTTTCGTAAAACCGTTAAAACCCAGGGTGCATTGCTTGAAGAGGTGCAGTTGCGACTTGACCTCGAGGAGCAACACATTGCACGCGGTGTGGTGGCCTTTCTGAGCTTTTTAAAGAGTTTGCTGGATTTTTGAAGCTTTTCCAAAACTTCTTCTACAGCTGTTTGGTAAGTTGAACTTTTAAAACTTTTTTTGGGATTTTGGGTTGGGGTGTTTAGAATTCAAGGACTTGGTGTTGGGGAGAGGTTTGCAAGAATCTGGGAGCTTGTGTGGTTTTTTTCTGCATTTTTATGATTTTCTGTGACCATTGGGCCATGTTTATTTTTTTTTAAAAAAAATCTGGCTTTGAATTTTTGAATTTCTGTGTGCTGGGTGGATGGGGGACCAGCTGGGGAGGTGTTTTCAAGAATCTGGGAGCTTGTGTGCTTTTTTTGAATTTTTATGATTTTTTTGTGACCATTGGGCCATGTTGTTGTTTTTTGAAAAAAGTTTCTGGGTTTTAAATTTCTGTGTGCTGGGTGGATGGGGGAACAGCTGGGGAGGTGTTTGCAAGAATCTGGGAGCTTGTGTGCTTTTTTTTGAATTTTTATGATTTTTGTGACCATTGGGCCATGTTGTTGTTATTTTAATAAGTTTCTGGGTTTTAAATTTCTGTGTGCTGGGTGGATGGGGGAACAGCTGGGGAGGTGTTTGCAAGAATCTGGGAGCTTGTGTGCCTTTTAGTGACTTTTTATGATTTTGTGTGACCATTGGGCCATGTTGTTGTTTTTTGAAAAAAGTTTCTGGGTTTTAAATTTCTGTGTGCTGGGTGGCTGGGGGAACAGCTGGGGAGGTGTTTGCAAGAATCTGGGAGCTTGTGTGCTTTTTTTTGAATTTTTATGATTTTTTGTGACCATTGGGCCATGTTGGTTTTTTTTGAAAAAGTTTCTGGGTTTTAAATTTCTGTGTGCTGGGTGGCTGGGGGAACAGCTGGGGAGGTGTTTGCAAGAATCTGGGAGCTTGTGTGCTTTTTTTTGAATTTTTATGATTTTTTGTGACCATTGGGCCATGTTGTTGTTTTTTGAAAAAAGTTTCTGGGTTTTAAATTTCTGTGTGCTGGGTGGCTGGGGGAACAGCTGGGGAGGTGTTTGCAAGAATCTGGGAGCTTGTGTGCTTTCTTTTGAATTTTTATGATATATTGGGTCCATTGGGCCTTGTTGTTGTTTTTTTAAAAATGTTTCTCGGTTTTAAATTTCTGTGTGCTGGGTGGATGGGGGAACAGCTGGGGAGGTGTTTGCAAGAATCTGGGAGCTTGTGTGCTTTTTTTTGAATTTTTATGATTTTTGTGACCATTGGGCCATGTTGTTGTTTTTTCAAAAAGTTTCTGGGTTTTAAATTTCTGTGTGCTGGGTGGCTGGGGGAACAGCTGGGGAGGTGTTTGCAAGAATCTGGGAGCTTGTGTGCTTTTTTTTGAATTTTTATGATTTTATGTTACCATTGGGCCATGTTGTTTTTTTTTTAAAAAGTTTCTGGGTTTTAAATTTCTGTGTGCTGGGTGGCTGGGGGAACAGCTGGGGAGGGGTTTGCAAGAATCTGGGAGCTTGTGTGCTTTTTTTTGAATTTTTATGGTTTTCTGTAACCATTGGGCCATGTTGTTTTTTTTTGAAAAAGTTTCTGGGTTTTGAATTTCTGTGTGCTGGGTGGCTGGGGGAACAGTTGAGGAGGGGTTTGCAGGAATCTGGGAGCTTGTGTGCTTTTTTTTGAATTTTTATGGTTTTCTGTAACCATTGGGCCATGTTGTTTTTTTTTGAAAAAGTTTCTGGGTTTTGAATTTCTGTGTGCTGGGTGGCTGGGGGAACAGTTGAGGAGGGGTTTGCAACAGTTGGGGAGGGGTTTGCAACAGTTGGGGAGGGGCTGGGGGAACAGTTGAGGTTTTTGAAGACTTTGGTGATTTTTAAAGCTTTCCCAAAATTTCTTTTGCAGCCATTTGAGGATTTTGAAGACTTTGGTGATTTGCAGCCATTTCGTAAGTTAAACTTTTAAAACTTTTTTGGGGTTTTTGGATTTTGGGTTGGGTGTTTGGAATTCAAGGACTTGGTTGTGGGTTTGAATTGCTGATTTTTTTTTCTTTTCTGAGTTTTACAAAGGTAACAGCTGTGCTGCCATGGGACCCAAGAAGACTGCTGCTGCTGCGGAGGCCGGCGAGAGGAAGAAGGAGAAGGTGACGCTGGAGATGAAGAAGGAGATCATCCGGAAGCACGACGGTGGAATGCGTGTGACGGACCTCGCCAGGGAGTACGGCAGGAACCCATCGACCATCGGGACCATCCTGAAGATGAGGGAGAAGATCCTTGCGACTGATGCAGCCAAGGGAGTCACCAGGATCGTGAAGAACCGCCCAGCTGTTCTGGAGGAGGTCGAGAAGTTGCTCCTCATCTGGATAGAAGAGAAGCAGCGTGCAGGGGACACAGTGACTGAGGCCGTGATTTGTGAGAAGGCCAAGGCCTTGCACGCAGACCTCATCCGGGAACAGCCAGGAACCTCGGCCGAGCCAGAAGTCTTCAAGGCAAGCAGAGGCTGGTTTGACCGGTTCAAGGCAAGATCCGGAATCCACAGCGTGGTCAGGCATGGAGAGGCTGCCAGTTCTGATGTTCCTGCGGCTGAAGACTTTGCCTTGGAGTTCCTGGAGGTTGTGAAGACGGAGGGCTACGCTCCACAGCAGGTCTTCAACTGCGACGAGACCGGGCTGTTTTGGAAGAGGATGCCCAAAAGGACTTTCATCACTCAGGAGGAGGCCAAGTTGCCTGGCCACAAGCCCATGAAGGACCGTCTGACCCTGCTCTTCTGTGCCAACGCAAGCGGCGACCTGAAGATCAAGCCCCTGCTGGTGTACCACTCGGAGAACCCACGGGCCTTCAAGAAACACAAGGTCGACAAGGAGCGGCTGAGTGTCATGTGGCGATCCAACAGCAAGGCTTGGGTCACACGTGTGCTGTTTGTGGACTGGGTCAATCTTGCCTTTGGCCCTGCTGTCAAACAGTACCTGCTGGACAATGACCTGCCGCTGAAGGCTTTGCTTCTGATGGACAATGCTCCTGCTCATCCTAAAGGCCTTGAGGTGGACTTGTTGGAGGAGTTCAGCTTCATCAACATCATGTTCCTGCCGCCTAACACCACGCCACTGCTCCAGCCGATGGATCAGCAGGTCATCGCCAATTTCAAGAAACTCTACACCAAGGAGCTTTTCAGGCGATGCTTCGAGGTGACTGATTGCACCACCATCACCCTGCGGGAATTCTGGAAGGACCACTTCGACATCGTCACCTGCTTGAAGATGATCACCACGGCCTGGAAGGGGATCAGCCAGAGGAATTTGAATTGCGCTTGGCGCAGCCTGTGGCCGGACTGTGTGGCACCAAGTGACTCTGATGCACCAGAGTCGACAGTGGTGCAGGACATTGTTGCCTTGGGGAGGACCTTGGGCCTAAACGTCACAGAGGAGGACGTTTGCGAGCTGGTGGAGGAGCACGACCACGAGCTGACCACCCAGGAGCTGGTTGCACTGCAGTCAGAGGTTGCGCAGGAGCAGGCCTCGCTGGAAGAGGAGGAAGCAACTGAGGAACGGCTGTCCTCCAAAGAACTGAGGGACATTTGCCAGAAGTGGAATGAGGTGCAGGCTTTTGCAGAGCGGCACCACCCTGACAAGCACGTGGCACATGACCAAGCGAACATTTTTGATACGACGGTCATGTCGCCTCTCAGGGAGCTGCTGAAACGGCGGATGAAGCAGCAGACCATGGACAGGTTCCTCAGCAAGAAGCAAAGAGTGGAAGAGGAACCTTCTTCGAGTGGTCCCCAGAGTCTTAGAAAATGTAATGTACCCTTTTTTGATTTTTAAATGTTTTTCCTGTCATGTTTAGAAACTTAATTTATTGTTCCTTCAATTTTTGATATGCTCTTTAAAGTATGTGTGACTTTAAAGAGCAGTTAATAAACTCTTGTTGTACCGAATTTGGCTTTGATTGGACTTTTTTTGACCATAGGAACGCATTAATTGAATTTCAATGCATTCCTATGGGATTTCGTGCTTCGCAAGACGAAAAATTCGCTAGACGAAAAAACTCGCGGAACGAATTAATTTCGTCTTGCGAGGCACCACTGTAATTTGACAAGATGATAAACAGTATTATTGTCTTGGAATCACAGAATCGCAGAGTTGGAAGGGAACCTGCAATGCAGTAATTCCAGCTGAAGCATCCATGACAGATGGCCATCCAACCTAGGCTTAAAGAATTTATGAATTTATGAAGCAGGATACTTGTTTAAAAGTGTAAAGCAGGGGGAGGGGTGCAAGGACAAGGAGGAGGGGACTTGACCAACTGTTTTAGGCACCAGGGGAAAATGTTCCTCTGTAACCAGGCATTGAGCTGATTAAACTTTCTATTGCTTTTGGAAAGTGTTTGTGGGAGAGGGTTTGTTGGTTTGTTTCCTTGTTCTGTATCTTGTGTTCTCATTTTGTATTTTTTATGTTGTAAGCAACCCTGTGATCTTTGGATGGAGGGCAGTATATGAATTTAACAAATATTATATATGTTATTGTTGTTGTTTAGTCATTTAGTCGTGTCCAACTCTTTGTGACACGACTATGCCAGGCATGCCAGGGACTCCTATGCCAGAGCACGCCAGGCACTCCTGTCTTCCACTGCCTCCCGCAGTTTGGTCAAATTCAAGTTAGTAGCTTCAAGAACACTGTCCAACCATCTCATCCTCTGTCGTCCCCTTCTCCTTGTGCCCTCCATCTTTCCCAACATCAGGGTCTTTTCCAGGGAGTCTTCTCTTCTCATGAGGTGGCCAAAGTATTGGAGCCTCAGCTTCAGGATCTGTCCTTCCAGTGAGCACTCAGGGCTGATTTCCTTCAGAATGGATAGGTTTGATCTTCTTGCAGTCCATGGGACTCTCAAGAGTCTCCTCCAGCACCATAATTCAAAAGCATAAATTTTTCGGCAATCAGCCTTCTTTATGGTCCAGCTCTCACTTCCATACATCACTATTGGGAAAACCATAGCTTTAACTATATGGACCTTTGTTGGCAAGGTGATGTCTCTGCTTTTTAAGATGCTGTCTAGGTTTGTCATTGCTTTTCTCCCCAAAAGCAGGCGTCTTTTAATTTCATGACTGCTGTCATCATCTGCAGTGATCATGGAGTCCAAGAAAGTAAAATCTTTCACTGCCTCCATTTCTTCCCCTTCTATTTGCCAGGAGGTGATGGGCCCAGTGGCCATGATCTTAGTTTTTTTGATGTTGAGCTTCTGACCATATTTCGTGCTCTCCTCTTTTACCCTCATTAAGAGGTTCTTTAATTCCTCCATTATATATATAATTAATATAATATATAATTAATAATTTCATCCCCGTTGTAGCTGCCTTGGAGATAATTTTGCCCTGGGTAGCAGAAAGGGTAAAAAACTACCTGGCAGCTGATACCTGACAGCTGGTTCTTCCTTCTTCTCTGTCTTTGAACAGAGAGTCTTTCCAGCCACTCACGAGCCAGGTCTTGGAAGAGAAGATGCAGTGGCTTGGTTGCCTTGACAACCCAGCCGCCACATTGGTCCCTCCATCCCTCTGCTGTGGCATTCTGGGGGCATGGAGTGTTTGCTTCGCCCTGACAAACCGATGGACCGATTGACAATTCTCAGGTCAGGGAATTCAGGCGAAATGTATCTCGTGGATATTTCATAGTAGCGACAGGTTCAGAAACTCAGAGAAGAGGAAGCTCAGAATACAAACTCCTCCAGGTAGCCACGTGCATTCAGTACTTCCAACAGCCCTCTCTTCCTTCTCTCTCTTTTTTTTTATAAGATATTTATTAAGATTTTTTAAAATATTACAATAAAAATGAAAAAAATAACAAAAATACAAAATAAAAATGGTTAAAAACACACAGATTTTCCATTACTTATTTTCCTTTAGCTTGTTTCCCGGACCTCCTCATACCTCCCTTTTTTGTATTCCACTTCAATCTGTTGGTTCAGCAAATCCTTACCCTCTTTAATTATCCTAATCCTTGATCTTAAAAATAATAGGATTAGATTTTTACCTATTTATAACCCTTTTTTCATATTCCCTTGAAGCATTACAGCTGGAAACCACTTAATTTCTATCCAACATCATTCTAACATTCATTAATTTTACAATATTTCTGTAGATAATCTTTGAATTTCTTCCACTCTTCTTCCACCGACTCTTCTCCCTGGTCTCGGATTCTGCCAGTCATTTCTGCCAATTCCATATAGTCCATCAGCGTCATCTGCCATTCTTCCAAAGTGGGTAAATCTTGTGTCTTCCAATACTTTGCAATGAGTATTCTTGCTGCTGTTGTGGCGTACATAAAAAAAGTTCTATCCTTCTTTGACACCAATTGGCCGACTATGCCCAGGAGAAAGGCCTCATTATATATCATTTCCCAGAAAGCCTTAATCCTTGGGCACGTCCACCAAAGGTGAAAGAATGTACCTTCGGTTTCTTTACATTTCCAACATTTATTATCGGGCAAATGATAGATTTTTGCAAGCTTGACTGGGGTCATGTACCACCTGTATATCATTTTCATAATATTCTCTCTTAGGGCATTACATGCCGTAAACTTCATACCTGTGGTCCATAACTGTTCCCAGTCAGCAAACATAATATTGTGTCCAACATCTTGTGCCCATTTAATCATAGCAGATTTCACCGTTTCATCCTGAGTATTCCATTTCAACAGCAAGTTATACATTCTTGACAAATTCTTAGTTTTGGGTTCTAACAATTCTGTTTCTAATTTTGATTTTTCCACCTGGAAGCCAATTTTCTTATCCAA